CGAATTTCGCAAAAGATAAAAAGGTTTGGGAGAAGGTCCCTGGCATCCGCGATTTTCAAAGAGATTTCACCCACAACATCATCGATTACAGTACCTTAGCAAAGATTCGAGCTTGTCCATGGATCCAACAAGGAAAAGGGGAAGCGCATGCAAGGGTTGTGGTGCCATCGTTGTGCAAAAGGACCAAAAAGGATAACGATGCTTTGAAAGCTGACTACGAGGCCTTCAAGGTCTAGTGTCAGCACTTTGCACCTATGTGTGCTGCGGGTCAGTGCCTTCTGAGCTCTTTACTGCTCGTCAACTATCAGGGCACTTGTAGGAGCTATTGTTAAAACTCGCAAACTATGGGGGCTAGCGCCAGCAACCGGATATTGTGACCCTCATGATTGAGGTGATGAACATTGCTATAGCATCAGTGGAGGGTCTGGTGGACTTGCACAGTAAGGGTGATATTGACAGAAGGAACAATGGGATATCCGCAAACATCACCAAGATTGCCTCCATATGCCATGACATTGCATCCACGTTGGCAAGAGGCCCCATGGACGGTAGGTTAAGTATGTGCTTATTGAGTTCCCCTTTTTGTAGTGTATGTTGCTGCATATACACTTACTTATTCATTTGTTTATGATCTAGCACACACTGCAGATCAGCAGGCATTAGAGGGAGGGCACGGTGAGGGTGAGGAGTAGGATCTTGCTCCTTATCCTACTCTGGATCTAGAGTAGCTGAGGGGGCCTACTCCGGAGCATGGGCCAACACAGCCAAAGGAAGATGGTTGCTCCCATCATGGGGAGCAAGGTGGTGTGCATGCAGGTATGGAAATGTACTTTATAAGTATTGTTGTTATCATAGCTGTAGCTATAGCTCCATTTGATTTGCCCTTGCCTGCAGCTGCTCATTCTCAATTGTTGTGGTGTGTTGTTGATGCTAAATTGGCCTTGCATGCATCACAAGCTAGTCCAGAATGGCCCTTTTGTGCATTACTTATTGATTCTTACTTGCTCTTGTGTGCATCGCCTGTTGGTTCTGAATTACCCTTGCGTGGAGCTGCTACTAATTCTGACCTGGCCTTGCATACATTATGTGTTGATTCATAATTTCCCTTGCTTGCATCACGTGTTGATTTTGATTTGCCCTTGCTCGCACCAACTGCTGATTCTGAATTGCTGTTGTGTACATCATCTGCTAATGCTAATTTAGCCTTGCTTGCGTCACATGCTAATTCTGAATTGCCAATGTGTGCATCAGCTACTGATGCTCAATTGCCCTAGCATGAATATGTTGCCGATGCAAACTTGCATGCATGCATGAGTTGCTGATGTTAAATTGCTATTGCGTGCATCAATATTTTTCAAATGCAATAGTGTTTTCTGGATTGTGAATTGCAATCAGATCCAGATCTAATTGTGTTTTATACGGTAATGGAATACCAGATAAGCTCATTAGAATGCACACCACGCAAGGCAGACAAACATGACAACCATAGGCAACCATGAGGGAGATGACGATGGTGGATGGTGTGCATATCAAATTTGGCAGAGAGCACTTGTTGCCAGAACAGATAGTGAATGCTATTCATGGCCCTTGTGTGATGCCGACCTTACATGCGGCTGGCCCCAACGATGCAACAGGTGTAATATGTCGACAGTGCATATGGCATGTTCAAAAAAGCAACTCAATACTGCTTCCTCCGTCCGGAATTAGTTGTCCTCTATGACTTTGGCACCGTACTTCTCTATCACGAAAGCTTCAATTTCAACAAAATTTCTTGCAAAGTTGTGTCTATGCTTTGGAAGTAAACAATCAAAATTTGAGGTCGATCTATCAAGTATTGAGAATTTGGCAGTACTTTGTAGCAGGAGGTCTCAACCTTTGGGGACATCCTCAGGGATGGCGGGGATGTCCCCAGTGAAGCCCCCAAAAGGGGAGGGTGGGGGTGGGCCGTCCCCAAATTCCATCCATGACCAGTAGAGCGATTCCGTCCCCAGGGTCACCACAACCCTAGGTTGCCGGGCGTCCCTATTGGAGCTAGGGAAAGAAGGGGGAGAAATGCCTGTACTCGCATCCCCACATTCCCACGTTCCCATAGGGGCAAGCGGCCTCAAGTGGCCCCCAAGAGAGGGAAGGGCGTCCCGTGCAGCGTCCCGAGGCCCCATGTCCCCATGTGGGGCCAAAGCGAGGGAGGGAGGAGGGAGGGAGGGAGGAGGGAGGGAGTCCGTCCGTGTCCCTCAAATCCCGATCATGGAGCCGGAGGGAGGGAGGATTGTCCCACCCGGTGTTCCCGTCCCCATGGGGGCATTTGAGGTCCGTGCCCTCCTATGGGGAAGTGGGGATGTCGGGATGCCGGGACGGGCGTTGCCCCCCTCTTCCGTTTGGATGGCCCTTAAGGCCCTACCCTTGTGGGGACGGGGGCCAGCGGCCTCAAGGGCCCCCTATAGGGGGGATTGGGGGGGGGGGGTCCGTCCCCGCATCACCATATCCCCGTGTCCCTGCCGCCCCCGCAACCCTGCATCCCCACAACCCTGCATCCCCGCAACCCTGCATCCCCGTGTCCCTGCATTCCTACGTCCCCGCATCCCCTGGCCCATGGGGGCGGCCTCAATGCCCCCCATGAGGCGTCCGTCCCCAAATCCTTGCATCCCCACATCCCACAAGGGGCCAATGGCCTTGAGGGCCTTCAGTGGGGGGCGCAACAACCGTCCCTGCATCCCCACATCCCCACGTCCCCATGGGGGGCCAACGGCTTCAAGAGCCTCCCAAGGGAGAGAGAGAGACGTTTGTCCCTGTGTCCCCACATCCCCACATCCCATAGGTAGGCTACCCAAGCGCCACGATGGCCGGAGGTGGAGGACAGAGCGGTTGAAGGGATTGACATTTGTGTTGCTATGTGTGCAGGCCACCTCGGTGCTGTTATGGCTGCCGGTGGTGGTTGGAGCGGGTTGAAGGATTGAAGACTTGTGCATGTACTTTGTATGTAGGTCGCCTAGGTGCCGCGATGGCTGGTTGTGGAGGAAAGAGCGTGCTAAAGAGACACTTTTTGTTGCGTTGTGTCTAGGCTGCCTAGACACCACGGCCACCAGAGGTGGAGGAGAAACAAGTTGAAGATTGATGTCCTCTTCTGCTATGTGTGTAGGCTGCCCAGGTGTCCAGATCTCTAGTAGTGGAGGAGGTACGGATTGAGGAACTGATGGCCTCTGCTGCTTTGTGTGCAGACTACTCAGGGGCTGCTACACAGGCGGTGCACTTCATTGCAAAATAAACAAAACGCGTGGGGGTCACTTGCACCCTCACACCCAAAACAAAGGCGTGGGGACCAACGCCCCAAACCACCACACAACAATGATGTGTAGGTTGCAATTGGCAAACCTGGCCCCCATGAAGAAAAGATCAAAACCGCATCATAAGCAACCTCCCCAGACGGCGTCCACCCACACCTGCACACCGTCCGTGCACTCCAAACAGTATTCGCACACCCGCACACCATCCGTGTGCTCCCCAGACGGCATCTATGCACACCCACACACCATCCGCGCGCTCCCTAGATGGCGTCCGCGTGCTCCCCGGAAAGCGTCCATGCACTCCCCGGATGGCATCTGTGCGCCTTATGGACGATAGAAGTGTCCGCACTAAAAATGTCTGAGCACATAGGAAAAGCGTCTGATGTGTCCGAGCATCGTGCGGACTAAAAAAGTGTCTGCGTTTTTGCCAGATTCTGTGCCCTCAGATGCTGCAAACGCGCTCGGACGCTTTTGTCTCAGCTCTCGGACGTTTTTGCTTAATGCGCGGATGCTCCAGGCGCTTTTCTTAGTGCCTTAGACACTGCCAATAGTGCGCTCAAACGTGCTCGGACGTGCTCGGACGCGCTCGGACGATTCCGAGGAGTTTGGAAACTGCGCAGACGCCCCTTTTCCCTTAGTGCTGGAAAATTTTGCTTCTGTTTGCATTAACAAGGTCCAGTGATTACCGTGCTTATATTGCAACCTGCGATCGCAGGTCAATGTACTGACGTGACCCCTTGGGCGCTCCGCGATCGCACCAGTCCTGCGATCGCAGGTGAAAATGGTCCGCAATACTCTAACCTGCGATCGCATGAGTAAAGCTAGACAGCATGACGAGTTATATGACTAATCCCTCTTAACAGGCCAATAACTACTGTGTGGCCTGCCACGTCGGTAGGCCGGGCAAGCAAGATGCTTTTCTGGCCAGCCACAGCTATGCCCGCTCAGTGCACCACCGTGGCAGCGGCGGCGGCGCCGCCGCCGACAACCCTGGCGCCCTCCAGGGCTACCCACCCCGGGAATCCGCTCCACCCGCCACGTTGGAGATACGGAGACGGACACGCACCTGAACGGGTCAGCTGATCGGCTCGTGAATCCGGAATGCTCTGATCCTGGGAGACGCTGGGCACTTTGGGCTTCGGTGACATCCTCAAGTGGAGAGCATGGAATTCTCCTTTGTCCCAAAACTCCACCCCTGCCCAGCACTGCGTCCATCTGGAGATGGACGCAGTGCTGGGCAGGGGTGGGGTTTTGGGACAAGGTGGGGGTGGGGGTCTGTCGCCTTAAGGAAATTTCCTGGCTTGGTGAAGAGACTTTGTTGCAAGGGGGGTTCGCACGACTGGCGGGGGACACCTTGATGATGATGCGGGCCTGCCGTTCTGAACGCACTGGGTCCCTCTGTGCAGATGGGAGACCGTCTGCGTCGCTCGCGGCGCTAAACGGAGCCTCAAAACACGGCGGGGTGGCGGGAACATCGACCTAGACGAAGGTAGGGCATGTGGCGCCTTGCTCCCAGATCGCCCAGGACGCTCGATGTGGACGCTCCGTATGAAGTTCCGGGTGTACAACACTTGATGTCTGCCTTCCAGATTGTGGGTGAGGATGGCCCCAGAGTAGAGCCAGAGCACAGGGCAATACCATTGAACAGCACACAGGCTGCCAGCTCATGATGAGAACCCAGGGAGGACTGGAAGTCATTTCAAGGTACCAAAGGCCAGAATGCAGTTCCTGAGGGTGCTGTGGAGTTCCTCATGTGTAAGTGGCAGCGCCAGGTGTAAATGTGGGCTGAGTGTGTGGCCCATATCGCCCCTGCCAATGGCTTACTTTGTTGCTCACCTGTCCTGGTGGATGGACTGGAGGTCCCTTGTATCAGCTTCAGGAGGGTACATGCCTCCAGGACATATCTTGTTCGGACCTGTACTGTTTTGGAGTACTCAAACTGGTTGTGGCAATCACTGCTTAGTGGTATTGTGCATCAGAGACCAGACTGTAGGTAATATGGCTGCCAGAAACTCCTTCTTTCTTGTGAAGGGATGAGAGTAACCCATTGGGCTATGCCTGTGAAGCCATACTTCAGAAGCAGGATGTCCTTTTTCTCTGCCTTGTTCCCAAGGAGTGCCTGCACCCAGTAGAGGTCAGGGACGTTGCATACATTGGCAGCAGCAGCTGCGAGGCAACGGTTATCAACATGTATGTCACACATGCTCACAACAGTCCTTGGTGTTCGAAACAAAGCAGGGGAAAGACATGTGCCTGGCCCTGGAGACACACATCAATGACATCATTACCAAGTGACATGCAAGGGCACGAAACAAATGGCCTCGGGAGCTCGAAGCACGCTGTCTGCCACCAATGATTACAGCACACAGGCAACGAGCAGGATGCACTTCGAGATCAGCACCTCTGTTTTGCCTGGTGTTCTTAGTGTGTTCCTTGGGGAGCCTCCTTGCAACGCATCTGTCTGGTCATATCCGTCCAGGTCAGTGGCATGACGATGTATCTGACCTGTGATGCATCTGGCCTTTGGCTGGTTGTTCGGAGCACTGCATTATGTACCCAGGTTGTTGTGGGTGGGGCACTATATCTACACACGTCTATGGCCACATATTATGGAGGAAGTGAGTGTCAGGTTTTGAGGTGTTCTTGAGCTGTGCAACAGCGTAACATTTGTGTGCTGCTGACCTTGTTGCACATAACTGGTACGGAAAATTGGCTAGGGTTGGTTCTTATCTGCACCATGACGCAACGCACTTGGAGACTGTATTCTGTCAGATTATGGCTTGTTCAAGACTTTAATGTGCATCGGCTGCACATTGCAAGGAGCGGGGATTGAGTGGGGGGAATATTGAGACCTGCCGTCTTTACTTCGGTGGGTGTCAACCAGCAGGTGTGTTCAACCATAGTTCTTGGACAGTGGCTGCTGTACATAGAACTTCATTTCTTACTTCATTGGGAATTCTGCTGCTGGTAGGGATGTATCCCTGGAGAAAGAGTGTCAAGCGATGCAAAGGGCAATGGAGTCATGGACAAAGAAAATGAACCCAGCCGACAAGGCCAAAGCGAGCCGGTTGCTCGAGTAACAGGTCGAGTCCGCCCGTGGGCACCTCAAGAGTTGTGGCCAAGTTGTTTTGGTCAGGATTGCCACAGTTTCATGGTGCTCCGCAGTGAAGCCAGCACGCAGGGCAGGGCACCATGCCGTGCCTGTCACTGCTAACAACTCAACCTTTCGTTTGCATTGCACAGGCGCAAATTGCAGAGTTCGGCGTCAGCGATAGGGGTTGTGTTCCGCACAGAAGGGACCTTGCAGAACTTGGCATCGCCTGAAGTAACCGGTCCAAATCTTATGACGGGTGGGGTGGGGTCCCCAGGGTGGGTGGGGGGTGGGTGGGGGTGGGTGGGGGGGTGGGTGGGGGGGCAGGAATAGGTGAAGCAGTGGGGATTGCGGACATCCCAACTGGCGGTCTGTAGCAAGGGGGACTCAGAGATGTCACATGGTGTGCCAGTTGTGCTTCATGTAGGGTTGCTGTTGGCCTTCAAGATTGCCTTCAAGAACAGACAATGGCGCATGGAATGCGAAGTCGGGCGTGTACATCCGTGTAACAATTCACTGTTTCATTAGTGCAGCCGTTCATTGCGTCCTCTCGCCACCCGCATGGTGACACATTGCCAGATGATTGACGTCCCCAGCATGGTTGTCTACAGCTGCACAGTGAGCGTCGCTGTGGGCGGCTTCAAAGATACTAGTCACGACTGTACTTTTCCTCCTACGCTGTTTCTGGGGTTGGCGCAGAGGAGTGGACAATGGTCGTGTGCACCTACACGTGTGGCCTTCCATGCTGTTTTATTGCCACTGTTGGGCACTGCCCACTAATGGTACTCCTCTCAGTTAACCTACCCGACCACCTGCCATTGCCAGCTATGCACCTTCGTGCTGCATGATGCACTACACCCATTCTACCTCCCCGTGGTTAGGAAACGATTTGGCAGCTGACTGTCGAATGCCGATGGTCACATGTGCCACAGTATTCAAGAACAAAATTGCTTATGTGCTCGTTTTACCCGGCCCTGGCACGCCAGAAAGGGCGCGCCTGTGCATGCACCATAGTTCCCGTGTTGGTCGGCGTGGTGTTGGTTGTCGGAGGCGGGGCATGCTGGGCCTTGAGATCTGCACACTTGACCCACTGGGGTACGCACCTGTGGTGCCATTATTGGGTGCAGACAGCCTGTGTCACCACCCAAGTATCAGCATTTCCGCGCTATTTGCCTCCCGCGTTATCTACGCACTTAGTGATGAAGCCAGCAAACTTACGTGATGTCCGATCCCGGCAAATCCCGGCAAATCCAGCTGTCGCTGAAGCGACTGTGCAACAGGACCGCTGCGGTGACGGGACCACGCTCGTGGCCACCGAGAGCCTTGCGCCTCACGTCGGTGTCCCCCAACCCCCGCACTGTGCGCTCGCTTCCGCAAACTTATGTGATGTCCGATCCCGGCAAATCCCGGCAAATCCAGCTGTCACTGAAGCGACTGTGCAACAGGACCGCTGCGGTGACGGGACCACGCTCGTGGCCACCGAGAGCCTTGCGCCTCACGTCGGTGTCCCCCCCCAACCCCCGCACTGTGCGCACGCTTCCGCTGCCTCCCGTCGTGTCCAAAGACACGCGTCGCTCGCCCGAAGAAAACTGCTATCCCTGCTGTACTGCGCGATGCCAAGAAGGGCCGGCGGCGGCGTATCCAGTTGACGAGGGTCAACTCATCCGTGGACACCGCAACTGCCCTGTATGCTGCACGCCCTGCAAGGGCAGTGAAGTGGAAGAGAGGGGCGCGGGACGCCACGTGTGCGATTGCACCCGTTGCGCGGGCGTAGGTTGGGGGTTTAGCGGAAGGTGCGGGACGCCGCATGGGCGTCCCGCGCCCCAAAATTCTACCCGCGGTATACCGCTGTCATCAAGCTCGAAATTGACTCCTGCCGGCTCAAGCGAAATGGCCTGGAGTCCACAAGTGCAATGGCCTCATCATCTCCCGGCTGCCCCCGTGCGCAGGTTCTCCACCTGTCGACACTGCACTTCTGACACCTCCAGGCGCCGCCCAGCTCTGCACACATGGACCCAGACTCAAGCCGCAACAAGGAAGGTACGTTGTGGACAGTGCTGGTGTGTTTCCTGTTGGAGAATCTCAAACCATCTGATGCATTCTGATGGCAATCTTACCATGTCATGGCATGTGCTGCAAATAACACTATTTGGGAGTGGGCACCACAAAGTGTGTTTCCATGGACATGGATGTTCCAACTACCAGTATTTCACCCCTAAACGAATCTGTCTATTACCGAACTGTAATTCGATTACTGGTATTACATGATAGCGTCTGACAATATCATTGCAGAGAATGCCATCAACAACATAATTCAATGGGTGCCAACCTCAATGTTTTGCTTGCAACGTTCCAATTTTCACAAACGGGGGTTGATGGCTAAATACTGATGCACAGTGACACTCAATGAGGAAGGTGAATACAGATTAAAGAGCCAGAATCCAACCTATCATATTCTGCAGATTTAATCTTCTATGACGACATGACAGTCTCACACACCAGTGCAGCCGCCGCTGGCATACCGTGTAACCAACTGGTGTTGTGCTGCCTGATTGCTGCAATCGTCAACTTGATGCACATGCTGGGGCAAAGGCTGCCCAAAGATAAGCTTCAAGTTTGCTACTTTTGGGGATCGTGACATGGTGCTATGAATGGGAGCTATGGGTCGGTGCCAAGGGTCGATGCTGTGAGGTACTGCGTTGCACATGTGTGACTTGTAAATTCGGTTTGCAACAAGGGTGGGTATACGTCGTTGAAGTGAAACCGCAAACATGTCCCAGTACGTTTGGGTTCAAGGAATTGTTAATGTTGCCATAGCGTCTCAGTTTTGAGAACGGAAATATGAACATTCGCCATACCTTTGTTTGCCAAGTGGGAACGCCAAGGTGCTCAACATGTTCGGGTCGCCATGACGGGGTGTCCAGCCAATTCGTCTGACAGCAACTTGTCCAACGGGCAAGTCGTGCAAGGACAATTGGTCTATGGACAACTTGTCTAACGACTGATCCTCGATTGAATGCAACCACGGGCTGGTTGTGCAACAATGATACGACGTTGCTGTTACAAATACGACTTGTTTCCAAAGTCGTTGCATGTGCTCAGGTGCTCTATGCTGAAGTCAATGGCAACATTAACCCCGTTGTTGCTTCAGACCGGTTGTCCCAAGGCGAGTTGAGTTAACTCGCCTAAAGATAAGTGCCCATCAATCTGTTACGAATACAACTCATCTTCAGAGCTGTGGCGTGTATTCACTTGCACTATGGTGAAGTGAATTGCAACCTTCACTCCGCCCTGGATCAAGTCATTCTCTGAATGCCAACAAGCATTCGATCGAGGACATGGTGGGCAGATTCGACGCATTTTCATGCACACTCAGAAGAGCAACTCACAGAAAAGTGGTGCAAGCAAGTACTGTAAACAACCGATCCCTGCACTGAAGAAAACCATTTTGGACAATTTTCGAGCACTACATTTGTGAGGGCAAAAGGACAATTAGTAGGCGATGATGTCACAAATGGTGATTTGTGGTGAAATGTAGCACGGTGAGCATGGCGTTTTTGTTATGTGACATGTACATGGAGTAATGGGTGAAACGGTGAACGAACATGTTTGAAATGGCAATTGCTTAGCTGGCACGTTCATGCTATAACGCAACTGGTAACGGCCTTGCTTCCGGTGCCTGAGAGAGGCCGTCTGCAAACGTACGCAACGTGTTCTGTTTCCCTGATAATAGCCATTGCACCATTAAACATGATTGTTGCAATACTTGCAACAATTATTAGTGATTTTCACAGTAATTGAAAACATTACATGTAAGGATAAGCATATCGCAGTTGTGGCGATCGCGATTCATTACACATTCTTGCGCTTAACTTCAGTGCAGGTGCCGCTATTATTGCAAATAGGGTTATTTCAGGTATCGTAATGTGATAAACGGCTGCAGGTC